ACACACACCCACACACACACCCACACACACACACACCCACACACACACCCACACATACACACACCCACACATACACACACACACACACCCACCCACACACACACACACGCACACACCCACACGCACACACCCACACGCACACACACACACACACAACACACACACACACCCCACACACACACACACCCACACACACCCACACACACCCACACACACCCACACACACGCACCCACACGCACCCACACGCACACGCACACGCACACGCACACGCACACAAACACGTGTACACACACACACACACACCCATGAGGCTCATGCGCCGCATCAGCGGATAGACATACGCACGCGTGCACCTATTAACATGGGCACGTATGTGTATGAAAGCATGTAATGTAGCTAGCGTGTGGAAGAGCATTTTGATTGATTCGTTGTGGTCCGGAGATAAGCAGTGCCTCAACACAACCGACCCCTCGCCTGCCTTTAGGCGATGCTTGATAGAAAGGGATAGAAACAGCAGGAATCCTACCACACTAGTGAGAGCAGCAAGACTAAGACCTAGATGCATATCACGAGGTTTCCCACTGAAGAGAATCCATGCAGCCTCTGGGTTCGACAATGTCATAACCAGGTGCAGTCCAAACGTGAGCTCTCGCTGCTCAGAATCGGAGGGTAGAAATCTCCGCTAAACTTTCGCCTGTAGGCAAGATGACGCAGAGAACGTCGATCAAAGCGGCCCTGACCTGGTCTTGCAGGCTGTTTTTTGAGGGTTTGGGGTGAAGCAGGTGATTTTGGGGGGCGTCCGGAGCTACCACAACAGACAGAATTTCGCAAAAAGTGCTCAAGCTGATGCTCAGATAGAGCGAGCTTGAAGCCAAACCAGTAGTAGTTTCAATTTCGAAAAACTCCTGGAACCACTGAGCTGGAATGCGAAGCTCGTTGGTTCACTTCCAGGTCATGTCTCTGGTCTGACGCAACCTGTGTGTTCATCCGGGGCGCAAGCCGTTCAGGGGCAGAGTCCGCTGCATAGACATCAGAGAGTTTTCGATGTCCTGCCATGTGGACTCTCTCCAAGAACCCTGGCTATCTACATAAGGTGCTTCGCAGAGGATCTGTACTGCTTCAGTACGAGACGTCCCACGATGCAAGAGGCAGCTGCTTTGAGAGAGACGTGCTGCCATATTCATCCCAAGCGACGCCAAGCATTCATCCAAGTCCATGAACATCACATGCACGAGCACATTTCCGGAATTTGTCTAGGAACAGGCTTCGAGTGGACCGCGTTTACTCTGCCTGAAGATGCTCCTCGTTGACCTGCCCGCCGCAACCTTGGCGTGTCGCTTTAAATCTTCCTATCTCTCGTTTGCCATTATCCCTTACACCACTCCTTGGTTGAGCTGCAACACTGCTCGTGGATTCAGGTGTCGGCTAATTTAATGAGCCAATGCTGCAGCATAATCTGATCGACTCTAGGAACACTGGGCAGACACGGGGTGTGTGGGCACAGGCGAGAACACAGCAGCAACATTGGCCTAACAAAGCCCAGCACCTGCTGTGGCATCAAGGAGCTAACCTCCGGCAGAATTCCGCAAAATGTAAAGCCCGAAAAACCCAAGAAGAAGCCTTCCCAGCCCTAGCCCCTGAGCCTAAACCCCACACCCCTAAAAACCCAGGTCCTGAGACTCCCAAAACGCCTGAAAAAACACCGAGGACCGGGCCCAGCGCCTCCCCCAGGGCACTCTGGAGCTCCTGTTGCGCCGTAGCGGCCTCGGAGGAAGCGCCACCCAAAGGGGTTCTTTACAAAAAAAGGGGGCCTTAGAAGAATTGGAATAGGGTTTTGGGGTTCTTCTGAGGGGTCCTTTATATTTATAAAGATAGTAAGGAACCCCCCCCAAAAGAGTGTAGGTGATTACTAAGGCCCCTATCTTATATATTCTTTTCTATTCGGGCTTGGAGTTTAGGCGTTTAGGGGGGGTTTTGCAGAAAGGCAGCAAGAAGAGCCCACAATCAGTCATGTTGCCCTTGACGAGCTTCCTTTGCGTTTGATTCGGCGGCGAGCGACTCGAGGGCCTTTTTCGGAGGTTCAGGAGCCTTGAACTTGTGTAAGTTGAGGGCTTGCATGGGGTTGTCGGCTATTCGGACTAGGAGACGCGTGTTCTTGCCAGCTTTTTGATCTGCTGGTGAGTTACGTAAGTCATCCGCCATCAACCCCGGGTTCTCAACCTCCGTGGGGTGGTGGGAGAATGACTCTAACCTACTGGTTCAACGGATCAGAAGCAGATAATTGCAGATGGACAGAAAGGGATGCTCAGGAGCAGGCGTACGTGAAAGCATGCGGGCGCTGGAGAATCGGAAGGTCTTCTTTCAGTTTCAGCCGTCACAAGGCACTGTCGAATTAGGTTTCGTAGGGTCGTCGTGTTTATCTCGTTCCCGAAGCCTAGTTTCACCCTAGGCCCGAAGCTCTTTCCCGGACAGGTGCCGCAGGATGCAGTAGGGAGCTGGCGTCCACAGTGGCTCTTAAACTCGCCTTGGGAACGAACGCCTGCAGCGAAAGCAAATGCTGTGTCTTTCGGCATGTAGCACTGGTCTCCTATCTGTCTGTAATGCCAATGCTGCATGCATCTACTGCAACATTCTGGGCAGCTTAGTCATAGTCTCCGCCAGGAAATTACAGTTTCTGCTTGCTACATCAGTTTGTGGATGCGAAGGAGAGGCACTAACCCGGGCCGGGCCTCGACACTGGCGACCTGAACAAGGCAAGGGACATTCTGCAGCGGCCGCTTGTGGCTCTCATGAGTCATCGCAGTCTGAGCTTGGGGCAGTGAGTCGTAGCTGCAGAAAAGAAAGAAGCAGAAGGCTCGTGGATGATAGTGAGAACCTGAGAAGATCGCAGGGTGAAATCCGGCTCTGAACTCCCTGCCTTCCTACGAATCATAGCTGGTCAAAGCAAGAAACCAAGAGCCGGGCATCTTCGGAGGTCTCGAACGCCTTCGGTCTCTGTCTCTTTGCAGGAATTCCGCCGTATTTCGGCAAACACTCGGCTTCAGCCGGAGCCATTCGGCATCTGCTTGGATTTGCGCCAAGAGCTGTGCACTAGACTGTCAGACTCTGGGCGGCAGGCGATAAATGATTCGGTCTCGGATGCGGCCCTGCAGCGTCAAGGCTTCAGCGAACCCCAGAAAGTTGGAACATGGGATGAGGCTTCGGATAAGGATGATTAGTACGTGATTCCGCGATGTTTTGCCTTCAGGGCTTTAGCACTATGACCGTCGCGTTCCAACTGGCTTCTACTATGGAGAACATCGTAAAGGCCATCATAAAACTGGCTCGACTTGTTAGTTCAGCCTTCCCGCGCGAACTCCGGAGCCCAGGCTCCTTTTATCCCCCCCCCAGTCTGGCCAAGCACCGCACCGGGAAGGTTCTCCAGGCCAGGGTGAATCCTAGGCCGCGCGCGCTGTCGGAGAAATGTAGGAAGGCTTCGGAGTGGACTGCTCTAGCATGCTGGGTCATGGAGCTGGGGCCCTTCGTTTCCGCCGAGCCACCCTGATAAGCGGGATGCTGGGAGATTTTTTGAGCCCATATGGCAGCGGGATGGAGCAGCTTTCCACTTGGCGGATCAATGCAAAATCCCAGCAAGTCGGGCGCTTTCAATAAAAACTGCTTTTGATTCAGAGAGCCTGTGCACTGCACTCACCACAGCTGCAGATTCTCCATGGGCGGCTGCATCTGCACCTTTCCGGCCGTGAGGCAAGCGCTGTCTCTGCAACAGAGCGCAGAGCTGAAAGTCGCGGCTTGGTCTCCGCAAACGGACTCAGGAAACCGGGCACCTTCTGTGCAAGCTGCCAGGACGGCGGCGGCAGCAGCGGCCGAGCACAGTCCATCCCCAGGCGAGGGCCAAGATCTCGGTCCAAGCACAGGTTGAGGGTGTACTTTTGCACCATGCCGGACCTTCAAAGCTCCGGCAGCCTGACACGTTCGTGTGTGACAGATGCCTTCCCTGCTGCACAAACTTCAACTCTTTGCACCCTGACACTGAAACCCCTGCATTTCAACCCTACGGCGCCAGTGAGGCCGGACTGTGCTCCGCACAGCCGCAGACAGCTTTCACCATCTCTTCTGGGAGACGCCAGTCCAAGGTCTTGGATGCATATCTCAAGGCTTAGGTCGCAGGTTTGATGGTCCGAGCAGGGGCAGATGACAAAACTCTGAGGATCATGCCAGTGCGTGTGTTACAGGGGCGGGTGTACATGACCAAGTAGCAACTACATGCAACTCGACGTACATGAGCAGCAGATGGATTCTCGGAGTTGCGGGCTCGAACCCATGCAGGTGGCAGGTTCTGCCACCAGCCACAGTGTGATCAGTCACAAGCAAAGCCAACTAAGTACATGGAAGGTGTGTGGACACGTAACTGCGGCCGAGCCACTTCGTTGGTGAAGCCGCAAATGCAGCAAACACCTTAGGACGAACACTCGGCCAGGATTCTTTAATCCGAATTACTGTGAGCGGAAGCTTACTTCGCTGCCCTTCTGTGCAGCGTACAGGTACAGGTTCCGTTCAATCTGATCTTTCTCAGTTGTCACTGTGAAATTACTCAGCGTGGCCCTGGCTCATCTACATCTACACCTGACACCCTTTCTGCAATCGATGCGAAAAGGTTGCGGCAAGTCCGTAGGCACTTCTCGCAACACATGTCTTGGGCTCCTATTCTCCAACATCTAGATCCCATTCGCTGCTTCAGGCTCTTCTGCGGTAGTTGGAAACACAAGAACGGCTCCAACACCCCAAAAAATCGGCAGCCTAATTACTTAATACCTGGCGTCAACCTCCAACCTCGTGAATACAGTTTCGACATTTTTGGAAGGCTTCGAAGCTTCACTCTGCAGCCACATGCCCGGGCCCAAACCTTCAACAGTCTACTCTCCATCCCCCAAATTCCTCGTCCCAAGTGTGCACATATTTTATGACACTATGTTGTATCGTGGTGTATTATGTTGTATGATAAATACGATATTTAGTATGTGATTTTTTTTATATTTCTATTTCTTTGGGCTTCCTGCTCGGGGCTACGCGGCTTGGCGGAGAGAAGCTCGGGGAGTGCGGCTCTGCCGCCGCCTGTGGGACTCGGTTTTTCGGCACTTCGGACGTAGGGCTCCGGGCTTAGGGTTTAGGGACTTACTGTTGATGATATAAGTCCCGCATTACCTAAAGGACCCTAAACTATGGGAATTATGGTAAACTTATTATGGGTAATGCAGGATTTGTACCATCAGCCGTAGGACTTGGGGCTCCGGGCTTTCGAGGCTTAATACTTCAATTGGGAGCTTCAAAGTCCTAGAAGCACAAGCTTGTAACTGTAACTGCATTCATCAAGTCGGACCTTGCTTGGCGATGTTACAAGACTTGAAGATATTGTCAGCTTTTCTCGCTTGCAACATAAACTAAAGTGGTCTCCGAGGACGGGAACTCCTGCTTCTGGAGTCTATGCTACAAGAGCCGCAGGCATCTGCAGGTTGTGTTGGTTGCATATAGCCTTGCATAGCTGCGGCATGCCCCTTGCAGACTGCCGACACAAAACCCTTCAGTGTCATCTCTTCATCTTCCAAGACCCTGCAATGTTGTGTGTATGGCATAAACGTGCAGATGCTGAACCACTGTAGGGGCATGGATCGCGGACATCCCTATTACAAACATCGCGTCGCAATACAGCCATGTTTTCTCCCATCCCACTTGAATACGTCCAGCTACAACATTTACATTGCTGTGCCAATCCGAGTCTGGGAAGCCTTGCCTCGATGAGCGGTCGAGCCAGCCCACTGCCTGTTGGCACGGACTCGGAGACTTTCATTCGGGTGATAGTGCGTGCTGCTACGACAGCCACCGCCGCCACCACCACCACCGCCACGGCCGCCACCACCACTCCACCACTCCACCACTCCGCCACTCCGCCACACCGCCACACCGCCACAGCCACCACAACCGCGACAACAACCACAACGACAACGGTAACGACAGGGGCAAGCGACCATGACCAGCAGCAGCGGCAGCAGCAGCAACAGCAGCAGCAGCAACGGCACCACCAGCAGCAACGACAGTAACAGCAGCGGCAACAACAGCAACAACAACAAAAGCAAGAGCAGCTAGGGAGAGAGACAGCCTTGACAGAGGTAAGTGATTCGTTGGACATAAGTCTGCCGTTTAAGCGAGCCCTTGTAAGCCGCCGTTATTTTGAAGTCTTGCCTAATTAGAAAATTGTCGTCTGCACATTTCCTGACCCACGAAAGACATGTCCAACTTCTGGGGCCATGAAATGTTTCGAGAGGAGTGTTGAAAAAAAACGAAAGCCAACTTAACACACACAGACATAAGTAGTACAGTACACACATACACACATGTATCTCCATTTATCTGTCTATCTATCTATCCATCGATCGGTCTGTCTATCTATCTATCTATCTGTCTATCTATCTTATCCATCTTATCTATCTATCTATCTATCCATCTATCTTATCTATCTAATCTATCTAATCTATCTCATCTATCTAATCTATCTAATCTATCTAACCTATCTAATCCACCTATCTATCTGTCTATTTATCTGTCTGTCTATCTATCTATCTATCTATCCATCTGTTTATCTATCTATCTGTTTGTGTATCTATGCACATGCTTTTCTATGCATATGTGCGGCATGTGTGCGCACATACAACTGTTTAGTAGTTGCAAACGGTAGCCTCTCAGAAGCGCCCGTGCGGCAGCCGCGCTCCCGGGCAAGCCAGCCAGCTCCACCTCACCTGAGTCGGTTTAGTTTAGGGGGAGTCTGTTTAGGATCGATGTGTTTTAAAGGGTTTAGGGCGTGGTGTAGGCTTTCGGGGATCAGGATGTAGGTCGGGTCTGGGGTTCGGTCGAAGAGTTCCTCTAGGGCTCTAAGGCCTTAGCAGGTTTTAAGGTAAGGGCACACGGTCTGGAGGCTTACTTAGCAAGGGGTTGCTCACTTCAGGATGCCCTGGCTTACATATTCGGTGGCTTCATTATGCAGTCAGCTAGGCAGTCTAATCTTAAGATGTTCATCGAGGTCGCTACATAGCACGGACGCAGACAATGAGACATCGCAACATATCTGATCCTGAATTTCATGTGTCCTAACATCTATTATACGCCTATCTTTGGATTCAATATTAACTCATAAAACGAGCAACATAGCCTTGACCATGTTAGTCAGCAGGGATCCATACCTATGTGCAAGCATGTGGGGAAGTTGGAGGAACTTCGTTTGAAGCCTTCCGCAAACCAGAAATGCCACTGATGTCCGTCGACGGATGCACATGTCCTACCTCAATACCGCACAACAAATCTCACAACACACGTTCCTGCAAGTACGCCCTACAGTATTTGAGTGAACAGCAGTTTACTTGCGCGATACGAACTGACAACAGGTTCCGACCGCCGCGGCTTGTGCAGTGCGTGACCCCATCCCAGCAAAACGGGCCAATGCCATCTGCACCGGATCAGCAAAAAGAGGCAACAACCCCATGCTGACCGGGGCACTCATCTCATGCCCCAGCGGTAGAAGCTGTGCGGGAAGGTCGGACGCCGGAGAGGCCAGCACGCGCAGTTGCGACGCTGCCCTGAGGTCTGCGTCGCGCTTTACCTAAGTGGCCATAAAGAATTCTGTATTCGAGGAGTGGCTGATGGACACTGAGGGTTCTCTTTCGAAACCGTGTGGCTTCTGCCTTCATTTGGGTCCAAGCATTGGCCTGGAATCAGACACACTTCGTCTGCGAATGGCAACTGAGTCGAAGAAATCCAAACCCACTATAAGGGCATGTCAGCCGGGCAGCATGTGCAGAACACGGTGCCAGGATCAGAATTTGGGAGACCTGGTGCAATATTGCACTCCGTCATCAATCATGGCTGTTTCAACAGTGTATCGCAAATCGAACCGCTTGTATCGCTGATTACTTGGCCACGTACCGAACCGATCGAACCGATCCTTACCGCAGAATATCGCAAAACACACCCCGCCGGCCACACCAGTCCCCCCACCACACCAGCCCACCAGCCACACCCCTACCAGGCCCCCACCAGCCACACAGGCCCCTACTAGCCACAGCCTCGCTGGTGGGGGCCTGTGCGGCTGGTGTGGCTGGTGGGGGCATGGCTGGTGGCTCTGTGTGCCTGGTGGGGGCCTGTGTGGCTGGTGTGCCTGGTGGGGTGTGGCTGGTGGGGGCCTGTGTGGTGTGGCTTGTGTGGTGTGGCTGGCGTGCCGGGTATTCGGTATGACGTATCGCTACCGAACCGAACCGAACCGGCACTCCGTAATACGGGCAATACAAAAACCGCTAAATACAGCATACGTGTCGGTATCGACCGAACCGCCCGATTACAACCATGTCAATACAAGTGCATCAGAAAGCTAGTTTTGTCGGCCGATGCAGTTACTGCTGGGGTCTGGACTCCTGCATCCTGAGCCCAGCGGAGCAGCTCCTGAGGCCATGCTCTGAACAAATTGAGGGTCTCTTTCTGTCTGTCTACATGCTACGAGCTGTACCAACATGAGTCTCACTGGGAGTTGTCCCGCCTTTGCAAGCGTCTGGCGCTTTCCCTCAGCTGCCCCCGATCGAAGTTGAAGCATCGACAGCATTGGCATGCTCGAGGCCTGCGATCGGTAGGATAAGACGACTGACATTTTCATTACCTCCAGCGCTTTGAATGCCTGAACTCTCGTGCCTGGTAGAGCTCCGCAGCTGTCGTGATGGCAGGAACTTTCCTGACAAGGATCACTTCCGGCTGGGCCTGAACTATAGCCTCGACTAGAAGCAAGCAAGCAAAGGTGGGGAAGCCAGAACCACTTAACGCCGACATCATACAAGTAGGACGCAAAAATGCAAAACTTTCTCAGCATCCCTCAGCACCCTGCAACCCTAAAAACCCCAAAGCCTTAAATGCCCTAACAACCTTAACCACCCGAGCACCCCGAAGAGCCTACACCCGCAAACCGTATGCACGTTAAACGAGCTACACCCCAGCAGCTCCAAAACAATCACGACCCCAACAATCCCAACAGAGCCCCGGGCCCTTCAAAGGCATTGGCCATGGCCACAGGGAGGATGTGCCGATGCTGCACCTGGAAGATATATTTTGGAATTATTTGGACATGGCCTCATATGGGCTCTAGAGTCTTCTGGGATCAGTTCGTGATGCTTCCTACCTGAGTACATGTGAACTGCCGAGGCCACGACTGTTGCGATTAAGAAGATAGTTCATCTGAATATTAAGATGCTGACATGTCATGCAAACACATGTTCGCCACTATATCACTATCGGTAATCTGTTCATACTTTGCTACCTTTTCTGCCGTGTGCCACTGTCTACCACAGTGTCTCTCGCTACGGCTGCTGCCGGCGGGCAATCGCAACCCGCTGGAGGTCAAAGCTGGAGATCAAAGCGTCCACCGCCAACTCTCCAAGGTGGGCTATGCCTTCGGGGGCGTCTGGCGATGGGCATGGGCTCAGGATGTACCAACCTCAATCGAACAGGGCTTAGGGGGTTGCTTGGGGGCCAAGTCTGCAATCATCAACCTTGACTTCCTCCGAAATCCCAATACCTATGTGCCACAAAGGGCCCAGGATCTCCACATAGGGTCTTTGACGTTGATCGTTTTTGCTTTGTTGGGTGATTTGCGATTAAGGCTTCCATGCCTTCCATCCCGAAGCCGCGAAACCGCAACGGCAAGATGCAGCAACTCCGACACCTCTCAAACTCTCGAAAGTCTGCCAGGCTTTCGGCCCGAGTAGCCCCAAAGAAAGAACCACAATGCAAGAGAACGGCTGAAAATCCTGTGGACAGTGGAGCTTAGCAAGGTCTTGGGTCTTAGTATGGCCTGATGATTTTGGCTTTCTTGTTGCATCTGGCGTTGTTTACATCTTTGAACAGCAACACTGGTGGGTCCGATTGGGAGGTTCCAAGCGTTCCCGTGGATTTGACCGTGTGCTCAGACGGAATGGAAAGCATCGATCGTGGCAAAACTCGGCAAATCCTTTCTCGGCCGAGAAAGGGGGTTTGTTTTTGAACGATTGCACACGAACGTGAAATCTGACCGTGACCGTGTATAGTGCAAACAAGAACCGTCCAGTTATGGTTCTCTGCTGGAGGTGTGCTTCGCGGGTCAGCAAGCCGAAGGGACAGCCCGATGCCGCTGAGACTTCAACCGCAGAATGCCTTAAAATTGATGTGTGGCAGCCTCTCTAGTTGAGGTGCTTGCTTGAGGGTTCTCTAAGAACCCTGCATCCCTCAGGGCCTGGGACGGAACAGTTGAGAGTTGGGGTTCATGAGTAGCATGATCGATTCTTTCAGCCGCCTTACGGGGTGCTGGCTTGGCATATTGCCAAACCGTCGTCTACGCTTCGATACTGCGTCTTTGCAGTGCTGCTGACGATTCGAGAGCTGCCGAGAAGCTTGCCAACCATGGTCTCACATGACTCTCCATACTGTGATAGAGCATCATGTCTACTGCACATTCAGCTGATGCTGCACCGCACCACTGTCACCACCGAGGGAAGCCCGGCCCCAGGTCACCACGGATCCATTGCCAAGAATGGCCGCAAAAGCATGGTCATTGGCTTGAATCTGCTGCACATTCTTCAGCTGATCCTGCACAGCACTACTGTCACCACCAGCACCAGCTTCACCCCAGGTCACGACGGATCCATCACCAAGAATGGCAGCAAAAGCAAAGCGACCGGCTTGGATCTGCTGCACATTCTTCAGCTGATCCGTCACCGCGCTAGAGTCACCCCCGCGGCCAGTATCACCCCAAGTGACGACAGATCCATCCCGAAGAATGGCAGCACAGGCTCGGTCATTGGATTGGATCTGCTGCACACCCTTCAGCTGTGCCGTCACAGGACCACTATCACCACCAAGAATAGCATCACCCCAGGTCACGACCGTTCCATCGCCAAGAAGAGCGGAAAAAGCAGACTGACAGGCTTGGATCTGCTGCACGTTCTTCAGCTGATCCTTCACAGCACTACAGTCACCCCCACTGCCAGCAGCCCCCCAAGTCACAACAGATCCATCAACAAGAAGTGCTGCAAAAGAATAGCCAGATGCTTGGATGTGCCGCACATTCTTCAGCTGATCCTGCACCGGGCTACTGTGACTATTGTCACCTGGAGCGCCGGCAAAACCCCAGGCCACGACCGATCCGTCACCGAGAATGGCAGCAAAAGCCGTGCCAAAAGGACAGTTGCAGACTTGGATCTGCTGCACGTTTCTCACTGCACCGCCACGAATGGAACCCCAGGTTACTACAGATCCGTTGCGAAGAATAGCAGCAAAAGCGCTGTGAGAAGCTTGGATCTTTTGCACGTTTTGCAGCTGTGCCTGCACAGCACCGCTGTCACCACCAGCGCCAGCAAAACCCCAGGTCACGACTGATCCGTCTACACGAATGGCCGCAAAAGCGCTGGCAGAGGCTTGGATTTGCAGCACATTCTGCAGCTGATCCTGCACAGCATTGCTGTCTCCACCGGCATCCGCATCACCCCACGTCACGACGGATCCATCGTCAAGAATGGCAGCAAAGGCAGCGTCAGTTGCTTGGATCTTCCGCACATTCTTCAGCTGAGTCTGCACAGCGCTGCTATTACCGCCAAAGGCAGCTTGACCCCAGGTCGCGACCGATCCATCCCCAAGAATGGCAGCAAAAGCCGCAGTAGTGGCGCATATTTGCACTTGGTTTACGTGCAAGGTCAGCGACGCACTCTCCTGCACCCGGGTATTTCTTATCAGCGCGCGCGTGTCCAGAACGCTTCCGGACGAGTCCACCAGCCGCCCCCTTCCGGCTCCCAGTGCAGTGCATGCGCGATGTGTTAGTGTCTCCACCTGTTCTTCCAAGCCGACTTCCACCGTAGCTGTCTTGCCACTCAGCAGTCCAACTTCCACAACAATTGACATGGTGCAGGCTCAGGGTTACGAGTTATCTCGTTTGGCATGCCGTAGTGCCACTTCAAGGCAGTAGTGTTAGGATGAAAGCCAGACCTGCCGCAATACTTGCGACCAGCAACAGCCATTATGAGTCATGAGTACGTTAAGGTGCCTACAGCCAACTTGAACTAGATTCCCAAGCTGCCGTTCTGCAGGTGGTTCTAGTCGGAGCTGGTTCGTAAAATGAGCCTGGAAACAAGTACCTAAACAGACCAATCCTCATCTGGCTCGCAGGTATTGACATGGCCTCAGGAGGGATTAGCCTAGATAGCATTTGGGACGTATGGGCGCTTCTCCAGTTGCGTCCTACATCGACATCCTGATCCACGAACCGTGAACCCTAAACGCCAAAACTCCCTAAACCCGGAAACCCTCCAGACGAGTCTTTGCCGACTTAAAGTCCCAAGCCAAGCCTCCACATCCAGGCAAGACGAGCGTGTGGCCCCTCAGCTCCACTGCATCTCCTGTCGGCACCTGGGCGGCTAACGCAGGGGGCTTAAACGCTTAGAATAGGACTTTGAGGCATACTGTAGTCTAAGTTTTAGGAAACAAATATAGATACCTACATACAGACAGGTATGCAGTTACATACAGCTACATACCGTTACATACAGCTACGTACAGCTACCTACATACATACATGCATGCATACATACATACATACGTACATATATACATATATACATACATGCATAGATAGACAGATAGATAGATAGATAGATAGATCGATAGATAGATAGAACATACAGTTGCATACATATATATACATACAGATCAACATACATATATACATACATATACACACAGATTTATCTGTAAATGTAAAGCTATATGTATGGTGAAGTGCTGTTCTGGAAATTGGAGACATATTGGTTGCAAGATGCAGCGGCACGAACGGCAGTATCTTCGGACTCTGGACTCTGGAGATCTAATCGTGAGAGTCGTGAAACGGGTGATAAGAACAACCGAGTGTGGGATGCACAGCCACTGTTGCACAACATCTACAGGATCTTCAACTCCACGAGTCCATCATTCGGCTGATCATGACTTCTTATCCTGAGTCAAGGATGTATCATCACCTGCCTTGCTGATTGCTTTTCTGTGCGCACCTTGTGCTACCTGCCTGTTGCGCTTACCACCACTGTCGCTGGGACCACGGCCAAGTTCATGTCTTCCGAAGCAGGAGACGCAATGCCGCAACTCGCTTTTGAGGTATGAGTTGCTGAGCACTCTCAGTAGACAGTAGATATTTGGCACAGAGGCGGGCTTTAGATCTTCATGACCGTGCACCGCGGTGAGATTCCGCTGTCTCGCGCGATGCAGCTGGATGTGGCGTAGGGCTGTTGCAGGTAGAGGCTCTTGCTGCGATAAGCTGGTCGACACATTGTAGCACTGGCATGATACAGTAAACTCCTACTGTGTTCAGCCTGTTGAGACCTGAAAGCTTCGGCCAAACGAAGTGACGCAGCGGCAGCAGTCCTCAAGCAGCCGTGTCCTAAATAGTGCATAGCAGTATCTGGTGATCCAGGAAAAACATGACAGACATTGGAGCCTGCGTAAAGCATCTGAAATTTCTCTACAACAGCAGATGTGGAGTCGACCTGTTCTACACACACACACACATGTGCTCATGCGCTCAACATGTCGCTGCACATATTCTAGCTTGAGTGACACGTTCTGCTTCAAGTGCAGCGGCCGTAGCGGGTGTACGTTGCCAGGCATGCTGAAACGATAGCTCCAAGGGCACGACAAACAAGAACACACCGAGATCAATGGATTAAAACTCTGGAAGTAATGCGTGATGAAGAGGAACTGGCTTTGGTACGAGGACTTGCAAACTATCTCTAGATCAAGGAGGTTACGACACGCAACAACTTGGAGCTACTGCGGATCATCGCTGATCATAGCTATGTGAAGCCTCTCACCCCCGTCTAGACACTCGCAGCTGGCTTGGCGCTAGATTCGCTGGCAGCTCCTGGCGCTGACGGCCATCATGTTGACATCACCATCACCATCATCATCACGATGGTGATGGCAGCATCGTGCAGCATCTGTTGTTCTGATTGCTGTCAACACCAGTCCGGTTCCGAGTCGAATAGCAGCCAA